TTCTGCCAGGAGCAAAATGTTTTTTTACAATGACCTGTTAAAATGCAGTTTGAGTTTGAATGCTCTGTGTGGCGTCAGTGTGGGGACCTTTCTGCAAAAAAATAAAATAAATAAAAATAAACGTTTACAAAGTGATTTTTTGTATTCAAACTTGGCAAGCATAAGACGCTATATCCAAACAATCAGCTATCTTTTTTCACAGTGTGAACAATGCAGATGAAACAGTCAGCGGGGTGCACAAGTGTGTGCGTGTGCAAGCACATCCACCTCCTTCTGATTCCGGCAGCGTCTGTGAAGCCTCTCTGCTCTCGCTCTTTGAGAGGCGAGACGGTGGCAAGGCAATTAGTGGCAGTCCAACACAGCTAGTGTGCTCTCAGGGAGCGCATGCACTTTCCACAGCATACTAATGAAGACAGGAGACACACATGCTTCCATTCTCACAGAGAGATCCTAAAGCTGCTCCACTGCCCCAGACTGCAAATACTCAGCCCAGCCTTACAAATGGAGCATGGCTGAATGTTTTTGTTCTTTGTGGTTTTCCAAATGCCTCAACTTAGTTTCAAAGTTTGAAGTCCAGCGTGGTACTTCTGATCCTTGCTGATAAATGTGTCTCATCACAAAAACTAAAAGAAAAAAGAAATTGCCTCTGCAGTAACTTCAGCTGACGTCCTCTTTCTACAGGCTCATTTTTCCTCCACTAATGTGAAACCACCAGCCCATGTAGCAGGGACCCCTTCCTGCCAACAGCTTACTTAGAAAAGTGAAACAGGGCCAAAGACGGCAGCGATTAATCGATGTCATCGGCAGGAAAAATTTATAATCGATGCGTCATTTATTTAAGAAAGACGCAATGCCCTTTTAGCTAAATTACTGTTTTTAGAGGACAGCCTGACTCAAATGTTTAATTGCTATCACTCACAAAACGTCTGTCCCGAAAGCCTGCCAGGTTTGATCAAATTCCAGTAGAGTGATCTATGACAGAAGTTTCATTTCTTTAAAACTGAGACTGTTTGAATGACTAGCTGTCTGTTTATGTGGTAGCAGTGCAGTGGTCAATCAAATGGTCAGTGAAAAACACTGCTGGTCTTGCATTCAAAATTGTCTCTCAATAGTGACCAGTAAACACAATCTTAAGCGCATCGTGAAAAGGCCTATGTGAACAGTGTTGCTTTGAACTTCGGCTAATGATCGTATAGTAAAGCCATCAAAATGGACAAATATTATTTCTGAATTGCATTGGCACAAATTACAGGTCCCCTCGGTTGACTCACTTTTTGAAATAATGCTTTTGAAATTATTCTAATGTGTCTGTAGCTGTATAACTTGCAACCAAGCACTCTACAGTGCTTAACATATTGTTGTGGGCTGTTACCTTACTGCTATAGCTAGCTAACAGAACAGTCACACTGTGTCGCACTACGACATTAGAGTTATTTGACCTGGTCAGCAGATAGCCAACAGAGACCTCCTGACAATGTTCTGATACCAGATTTAAGGTCTGTTGTTTACCGAGTGAATCACTTTGAACCATGCTAGCTGAACATTTGTTACAAGCTTTCATGTTTGATGTTTTCCTGTTAATAATATTGTTTGTTTTGTGTTTAGTATTGAGTTACAAGGCTTTTGATATCATAACTGTGGTTGTAGGTTTGTTTTGTTCATCTGGTTTGCTGTATGTATATTATAGCCTCCTATCTGTGCTGCACCCTTGTCTGAATAAACTTGCACTGCTGCTGAATTAAAATACTGTAATCTCACAGTGACCGTTGTGCTGAAAAACCAAAGGAGACATTTTTTGTAGAAAGTGTAGAGCTTGCATAAATATAGACTACAGTGCTATCCAGTGATCTATTAGGCCCTGTCAGTTTCAATGAAGATAAAGGTCATTCAGTAGGTTGGCTGAGTAAGTAACACAGCATGACAGAATGCAGCTGACCTCTAGTGGCGAGCAGAATATTGACATGCGCTCTCTGTTTGTTGTCTCTGCCTGAGAAGACACTTGAGAGCAAGTCTAAAAGCCTGAGTGCTGATTTAGTGCTCTAATCTGTAATGTCAAATTACTCTGCTTGGCTGACTCCAGAACCATTGATGTGTTCTTGCCGACTCAACACACGTTTGTCTAATTTCGCCTTCACCTCTTTCCCCACACCAAATGTCCCGTCCTGGCTGGATTAGTTTTTTGTGCTATGTGCTACGTATCTTTGAGCTGATGTCCTTTTTCCTGATTTCCTTGTCTGGGCATTGATATTGTTTCTTTCTTTTTTGATTAGGTACTGTTTGTCCCAAGACACTGGTGGCACTACGTGGAATCAATAGACCCAGTAACCGTCAGCGTGAACTCTTGGATTGACATGGTAAGACATGATTGTGTATAGCTTCATGCTGTTTTGGTGCTGCTGTCACAGTGAATGTAGCATGTACAGGAACATGATGATGAGTGACAGCGTAGTGAGTGTAGCACCTATATAAAAACTGTCTTGCACAAATTACGTCAAGATTTAAAATGCGTATAACCGCTCATTTTGAATAGCATGACACATTTTTTTCTGAGTCATGATTCATGGCTTGCAGCATCACTGTGTCTGATGAGGTAGCCTCCACTGTGATGATGAGTGTAGTTTTTTTACACTTTTTTTGTTGCACTTGTGATGTTTATGTGGTTTTATGTACCAACAGCGGAAATTGTTCATTTTTATATGACCATTTTACAGCCTCCCTTTATCCTTGAAATTAAACAAGCTGTTTTTGTTACTGTGCTTTTAAGACTGATATATGCAAATGATCTCTCTCCTGATGAGCTGCCCTGTATTGGGTCTCATTCAGAAAGCAGTCCAGGCTGAAACACTGCTTATGACTTTAATGTGAATGCTAAACTGTTGTAAGCTGAAAAGATGGACATATGATAAATTACAGGTTTTTTTAAATAGATGTTTTGTAGCTTATTTTCCATTAATGAGTTGCATGGACTTGGGAGTGAATGGTACTTTAACAATGTTTACATACTACATCAAACTCAAAAAAGGGTGTTCTGGTTCTATAGGCCATTTAAGAGTTTCACTGGAGGATGTACACAGCTTAAAGCAGGAGCTAAACAATGCATGAAAGTGGTATATTGTTTCTAATGCTACATGCCACAGACATTTCCTGCATGGTCAAGGGAACGATCAGTTGCATCCATGTTACAAATCTATAGTATGGTAAATAATAATCATGATTAATCTCCCAAAATCACCTTCTTGTTGTGTATCCGTGTCCAATTGCAGAAGGTGGATGATGAGGCTAGAGTAGAAGAGGCTCTCACCAAGACCATCGTCTGTGCCCTGAAGACCACTCCAAGCCTTGACAACAAGGACAACTGGCTCAACCCTACTGAGGTATTCATATTGCTTTATGTGAACAGCATGCATTATGGTATCAGTCCGCCTAAGAAGAAATATAATAAAATATAATTTTAACTGTATAATATAGTTTATCTGCTCCACAGCCCAATGCTGGGGGGCTTTATGCCCCTCTAGCCAATGCGTGGCCTTGGGCATGGTGCCCTTAGGCTTATGTGTGGCTGTCCAGCTACATTTTATTGGCAATGCATTTCTATTACACATGTTGTGTGTGCACAGTTGATGGCCTGTATAAGCAATAGATGCTGAATTCTCCAATTAGCTGTATCTGGGTACCTTTGGACAGTGTATTTACCACTTTCGATAGATGCTTTTGGCCTTTTTATAAGTGACTAAAGCAGATGAAAAAAAAGAATGCTGACCATAATGCCCTTTTGCCCTGCAGGGGGTGCTTCTGTCTTGATTATCGATTTTTGTTTTCAGTGGTATTGGCCTTGTTCTCAGTCTGTACACATGGCTGAAAATGAGGAATCTGCCTTTTGGCTCCAGCCCAGAGTTTGTACAATAGCCTTAAGATTAGGAATGCAGTGCATGACAACACTGAGGACACAGCGCGTCACACTGCACCACAAGCTGCGCAGACCACAAGTCTGTGTCCTGTTTGTGTTGGATAAAATTATCTACTTGCTTTAGGTGAACTGAGGTCAAACTAAAGAGTTTGGATTATAATTGGACAGCCATCCTCACTGTGCTGACCACCATGTCTTTGTTTTAAAGGAAGGGATCCCTTCGCATGATGAAAACATGCAGTACTTGAATCTGGCAGTAAAGGCTTGTTTGGATAAAAGGAGCTCCTATGCTGAAAGCAGGCCAGAATTTGCAGGCCAATCCAGCGCTGCTGCTTTGAAACGGGACTCCACAGGTCATTTGAAGACGACCGCCACCGATGCCGCCCCGTTTTCAGTTTCCTTTGGACCTCACCTCATTCCAGTCATGTGCGTTGCAGACGAGTCTCAGAAACAAACAACTGCAAACTTCAAAGAGACTTCCTTGTCCAAAGACAGTGCTCATGTCTTCTCTCAAAACAGAGCAAAGCCTCAGGCTACAGATACACCTGGGAAAGAAGAGGGAGTCAGGGTATCAGGAGGGCCAGCAGAAGATGGAAGACATGGTGAAAAGTACAGCCATATATCCACCAATGATGTGCTGGACTGCCTGCTGCATCCTGATGTCATCACCCTGATTACACGACTGATGTTGGACAGACGAAGAGAGCTTGACTCAAAATAAATCGCACACAATTGGAGTCTTTTATACTGTATTCATTTTGTATGTAAACATGCTGTGAGGATTAAAGACAGTTTCTTTGATATGTGGAATGCTGTCAAGAAATGTCGCACATCAAATTTGAACTGTGTTCGTTAAAATGAATCTAAGTGAATCTTTTATGCCGTGATGTACCCATTCTCTCTGGCGTTCACATTGTTGGGTAAAAGTCAAGTGCTTAAAGCTCTGCTCAGGCACGCTCAGACATTCAGTGGTAGACCTCGTGCCTCAAATGCAGCCCTACTATGGTGTACAACAGAGCAAGACCTACTGACAACCGCATATGATTAAATATGGGCAAAAAAGAAAAACCCTAAAACTAAGCAACAAACTGAGGAAATTGCTACATTTTATTTATGCATTTTAATGCAAACAAAAAGCAGTTTCTCACATTAATGTATCTTATTTATAAGGGTCTGTATAAATCAAGAATGAGCAAGAGAAACCAATTTGTGTCAGACATATTGAACTGAAGTCAGTCTCTGTATAGTTCTCCCTTCACATTGTCAATGGTCACAAAAATACATACATAATTTTATTACTACTTACATTGTAAAAATCATCTTAAAAATGTACAAACATCACTCTCAACTGACAGCAGTGTTATGCCGATATGTTTATAAACATCTGAAGATAAATACATCCATAAAAATTTAGGATTTAGACTTAATATTGTATAAAGTATATTATATATGTTGATAAAATGTCCCTTCCACAAATTATTTTCTGTTTCTTGAGCTGCAGTATGATCCCTGAGTAACAAAGACCAACTGAGGATCAGATAAACGCCCTGGAATGACAGAACAGAGTTAACAAGAAAAGTCCAGTGAACAGTGTTTCCCTGTCTAATACAATTAGCATTGCTTTGATTTAGTGTACTGAAATACTGTGATAACGCTGGAAGCAATGTGTGGTTCTGCTACATCTTTATGCCCTTTGGGAGGTCATTCATGTTCATACTCTCTTTCTCCTTCTTCAAGTCATCCATGTTGCCTTCGTTTGCTTCCTCTTTGAAGAGCTTGTCAAGCTGGTCAGGGTCCACGTATGTGTAGAAATAGGACATGATGGAAAAGATGATGCTGACCGCAACCAGCAAAGCAGCAAAGAGCAAGAACTCTGTCCACTGTAGAAGACAACACAACCAGTCAGGCTTTGAGCGCTACATATCTTCTGTATTTACATCCAGGCAATTTGTTTACCCATTGCCACAGAGCTGCTTCCTCCACATCAGCCTTTTCTGTCAGATGTGCACATTCATTAACCTTGCTATTATTCATCTGGTGTCAAACCAGATCTTATATAAAGAAAGCACTTGCTCCATTGCTTACCTGTTCCATCCCAGCTCCCTCTGCTACAATCAGCACAATGACATTTCCGAAAGCCACCGTCAGTAGCCACCCTGCCTGCAGCACAGACTTCATGCTGGCTGGAGCCTAAGGGTAAGAGCATTGGCATTAGTACCTGAATGCTGCAAAAAAATGATCTTAGCAAGTGATATTACCTTAAAGGTTCCCATATCTAACATCTGTCTTACATTTTAATGTTTTCCTTGATGTCCACTTATAAAGTTTGTGAGAGTTTATGTATCAAAAACATTTTTGCATGATCATTTTCCAACCTCTTACTATCCCGTAGAATTCAACAGGCTGTTTTTAGTACTGTGCCTTTAACGCTGACATATGTAAACACAACAGAGCTGATTGGCTGCCCTGTATGGTGCCTCATTAAAAAAGCAGTTGGGGCTGAAACACTGCTTGTAACATCCATGTAGATGAATGTATGAAGTCACAAAAGCAATGAATACAAAGCTGTTTTTGCAGCTTAATTTCCATATATGGACTATATTTTTTGGGGAGCGAACAACAGATTTTGAAACTTAAGCAACGTTTACATATTACCTCAAAATGTTTTATTTTAAAAATGATGTAAATGTGGTTTTTCATGATATGGGCCCTTTAAGCCTAGTCAATAAATTTTTACATTTCTCATTTTGAGATTGTCAAAATTTTATTTTATGACACTGTCATAAAATTATTTACCTTATTTCTGGACAATTTACTTGTTTTAAGTGATTTTAAGTGAAATTCTCTCACTATATTGACTGAGTATAATGTCAAATTATATTGTCAAATTATCTGCTATCAATATAATGAGAATTTCATTTAAGCAAACAATGTCTAGAAATAAGTTACATAATCTTATAATAAGCTTTCAACAACTTCAAAATATAATTATTAGATATATTGACTACCAGTTTTTGTAGTGAAGATAACAGACCTTAACAACAAAGATCTGGTTGGATGACTGTTTACCTGTGAATATGAGAATTCCAGACCAGTGATGGAAAACATGACCTCTCCTGCAGTGATGAGGACATACTGGGGGATCTGCCAGGCAATGTGGATATTATTGGGCTGGACATCCACCATCTTGTTCAGTGTTAGGCTATTTGGATCCTGTGAAAAAAAGAACAGGCAGATGGTGAACCAGTCTTGCATCGCTTTTCATTTCCTCCACAGTCCAGTCTAGACTTTCTTTGCTGTCTGTCTTGGAATCGTGTAAAATGTGAAAATATTTGGAGCATTCTGACTAGTCCCTAAAACGGACTACATCAAAGCCACTATATATATGTTCATACATTATTTCTGACCTTCCTTTGTGGATTAGTAAATTTTGATTTCTTGTACAGTTTAGCTAGAATATAAGGTCTATTTTTAAGGAGAATTCAACCAATTTTTTGAAATGTCCTCATAATTAAATGGTTAAGATGTAAACAAAGTCATTCAAAGTGATTTGATGTGAAACGTGCCATTCTAGAGAAACCTACAGCATTAGAATTGTTCACAGTGGTGGTGATACGAACCAGACATCTGAACTTTAATGGCTCTAAATACTCCCTCACAAAAATGTATTACATGAGATGATGAGAAATACACTGCCTGAGACATTGTTTTATTATAGTTTTGAGAAAAGGTTTAGGCCTGAAATGTATTTATGGTGGAGAGGCATAAGCAGGGCACTGAAAGGCAAAATAGTCCCCAAATTCAACACCATTTCACCATCACATATAAAACTCAGAAGACACTTGTAGCTCCTCACTGGTGGTTTTGGATAGAAAATAAGGTGAGTATTTCTACATTGTAGACATTGCGACCCCTGATTCCTATCATTCTGTCATATAAACACCGTAAAGAAATCTGTAAAGAGTTGGTAAATTTCTCTACAGTGAATTATTTCACAACAAACCACTCTGAACGATGACTAAATTATGCAGGAAATTTGATAATCAGTGACCACAAGACCACTGAGCATTTGAAAATCTGTAAGTTTATTAAACTGGTAGAGAACTAAATGTAATTTCTATTAAAAATCAACCTTTTGAATGTACTCTATTAAGAGATTACAAGCAACTGACATCTTATGATGTGTTGGTTTTCCAATTGAATAAGATGGTTTGCTCAGCAAGAGCTAGAGTGACTGGTATTGGTATTTTACTATTTATTTTTTTTATGTATCACTGATCTAGTATAGTCATCACCAAGTAAACAAAACAAGAGGGAGCTGAGTGCTACAACCCATTAAGTCTGAGAAATGTTTAGCTACATGATTCCAGAATTGTCAGACGTGGGTACAGAGCTAAAAATTAAGTATCTTTAGTATTTAAAGACCATTGCGTGCATGTGACAGATTTTAAATGTTTTCAATGTTTCACCCTTGATTAAGGGTGGAGTTTGTCTTATATCAATATTAAACTTAAGGGTGTTTTTTAACTAAAGATAGTGTAAAAAAAGTTTTTTTCTAGGCCACATTTTAGGCCCAAGTCTTGAAAACTAAGGAAAGTATAATTTGTATATTTATATAATTGTATTATTGTTTTTTTCAATTATGGGACACTAACTGCACTGTTATTTATTACAAAACCTGGATTGTGCCAGATTAGTGTTAGTTGTCGCTATTATAGAGTTGTTAAACAAGTTGTTTAACAGAGTGAAACATTAACCACACTGGGATAACTGAATAATATCATTTACCCCTCCGAGTATGACTGTGTAGTAGGCGCCAAAGTCAAGGAGACCCAGATCAATCTGATATTTCATTAATGTATCCAATGATGTGCACTCAACATTCTTGTATCTGCAAAGAGAAAAGACAGCACAAGTGAAATATGGTCAATGCATCTGGCCTGGATGTGTATGAACAAAAAAATTTAGAAAAAAAAATCATATGTTCAAGTCTAGTTGCACCCCCTTGTGCACAAAGAGAGTCTTGACTTATTGGATCTTAAATATACAAGTTTGAAGCAAGGTTGTTGTGTCATAGGCCAATTAAGTGTAAATACTACTGTGATAAAATACTTACTCTCCTCTTTCAACACCTAAGCTTAGGGAAATCCCATAACTGCCTGGTACTTGGAATTGTTTGCTGCCTACACTTATGTTCATACCGTCTGTGCGGGTATTAATAAATCTGGGGGGAAAGAAAAACACATAACATCAGTAACATGATTTTGTAGTGCAGTGCAAAGCATCACAACCCAAGTCATGGAACAAAACAAGAAAAAACCTTCTGTTACATGATGATTATTATTAATATTCTGTTTCTCATAATTTAGAAGCTGGATCTCACCTCACAAATGCTTCTCCAGCCTCAGATTTGGTGTAGTTGTCTTCTTCCTGCATTTGAGTGACAACAAAATGGTACAATATGATATCGTAATACCAATGCAGTATTCAAGATAAAATATAAGAGAGGTCTTCATTGAATTTAAAATGTGATATAGTCTTTACAATTTACTTGTATATCTACTAAAACTTTCAAACATGGTCATGGTCTCTATGATGTTTTGAACTCACCAGTTTGCATGTAATCCTATTGTCTAGGATGAGGCTATAAACATTGTGCTGAGTGAAGTTAAGCTGACATTGGTGATTTGCTCCATTATGAGTGATATCAACTGTGATGATCTGGTGGGCGTCATCAAGTGGAAGACTTGTGTATCCTGAAGGTTCCTGGTGACACAAAGAATGCTTTAAGTTTTAAGTAAAGTATGACTATCTTCATAAAACAACCTCCTAGTTTCAACATTCTCCTAACATTCAAATATAGTGACTAATTTGGTGAGATTACATGACATGACTACAAATGTCACATACAGTCAGCCTTAATTTTTGTGCTGCCTTTTAAACTCTTTTAAACTGTTCATAGAAGAATGAGGACATTAGGACAAAGCCAATGAATATTAAGGTACACCATCAATAATAATAATAAAAAATAAAGAGTTTATAACTTTATCTCACATCATATGATTTTATTGGATCCGGGAAGATATTGTGTCCTGGAATTTGTACAGAGACATCTCCATCAGCAAAGTTAAGAACTTGCAGCAGGCATTCTTTGGCTGGTGGAGTTTCCACAACAGTTTTCTGACAGAAAACACAACAAACTTTCAGTACTGGCAATTTCTAAAGTAGTCATTTAAATTTTTACATAAGTAGTGTAGTGCAAATGAGGAATTTTTGATGATTTACATACAATAACATTGACTTCCACTACAGTTGCAGCACAGAATGCAAGTGCAGCAAGGATCATTCCTGCAGCCATCTTCTTCAGAGGCCTGAGAATGCAGGAGAGACATGTTTCATGACATTATTAACAAATCTAAAGTCCAAATTCAGAATCTTTAAGGTGCTTAATGTCACACTGTGTGTCAGATGGCAGCTTTCAAGATGGCAGGAGACAGGGTAACATAACACCACTGTCCACAAAAAAAGTGTCTCAATTTTTTCCGATTTTCATTTTTCTACATCATTTAAGCAGAGATGCTGTGCTTTACATAGCTTGATATTTTATTAAGACAGCTACGATATGTCACAGGTTCACCTACTGGTCTAACGCATAATAACAATGAGACCATTCTATTATTAATCATCTTACAGATTATTGAGTAAGTGACAATGTATTATTTGGGGAGTGGCATATTTTTTCCTCAAGTAATTCCTATGTGTAATACATAATAAAAAACAAGTGAATGTGCATGGATATTTAGACAGCATATTAAGATGTTAGACGTTTACAATCAAATGGAATCCAAAAAAGAGTGTTTTTCATTAAAAGCTTCATTCAAGAGCAGCTGAAATACTGAAATGCAATTTCTAGTAACATGCAGCTTTCTAAGCTGACTCCTGCTTCTAAATCAGGGATCATCTAGACTTCACAATTCAACCTCTCAGTTAATTGGCAGGTTTAATAGGTTTTTTGAAAGGAAACCACCAAACTTTGCAGGACTCTGGCCCTCCAGGACCTGAACTGATGACCCCTGTTCTAAACACTGCTGCCAAACATTGTGGTTAACATAAGGCTTCAGCATAAAATGTTCTTTTGAAACATTAACAGCAAACTTTTCCTTCACAATCTAAACCTGATGGCCTAAATGTACACATGGATTCTTCAGTGAACACACCAGGTCTACTGAGTAATATTATCAGCTTCATTCCAGGAGGGTGAAGTTTTAAGCTACAAAAAGCAGCAACAGGTAATTCAAAGCTCCCTCAATTCTTAACCTCCATCAAACTATGCAGTTTGTTCAGAATCATTAGGCAAACTGAAGCACTGATATAACTTTTAGGTTTGAAAAAATTGATATTTTCAGATATTTCTAAAACCCAAAAGAGAGTTCATCAGTGCATCAGTTTTAGTGTTTATGATCTGCACCTACAATATATATATATATAGTCTTTCAAAATATTTGACATACTATATTTGAGTTCTTTTTTTCAGCACCTTGAGTTTTATGCAAAAATTTATCAATGTAGCTTATTGCTCGGATTCATAATTCTGTAAAGTACTAACTAGGACAATATGATAATATTCACCTTTATCATTATAACTTTCGTCCCAATAAGTCACAATATGCTTTTTTGAGCATATCTTGAATACTGTATCAGTACACTGAACACTGACCACCTGCATGTTTCATTGCAAAGACAGCATAATTAATCCTGTTTAACTGAATTTATTGCAGCGCAATATGTGAAACGTTAACCCTTAAATGGCCAGGGCCCACCAGCGGGCCCAAAGTTTTATTACACATTTCAATAACCTAAGAATAGCTCGAAATGTTTGTACTGAAGTCCCTGTAGTTACTGAATAATAAATCTTAATATGTAATAAGGCTGGACCTTTAAAGGGTTAAATAAAAATTATTTGTATTCAACGTTTTTATATTTTTAATTGTAGCACTAGCAGCTCATTTTTGCCTTTTCCAATATATTGTTACAAAAATGCATTTCATGACAAATCATGTATAGCAGGGGGGCTCAATCCTGGTCCTGGAGAGTTCAGATCCAACACGCCTGGCTCATATAGTCAGATGCCCCTAAAGGTCTTGATTACCTGGATCAGGTGTGTTAGATTAGGGTTGGAGCTAAACTCTCCAGAGTGGTAGATTTCCAGGAAAAGGACTGGGCACCCCTGGTGTACAGTGAAAATGTCTTGAAGTATCAGGATATTATTTTCACCATATTGAAATTATTATTTTATTATACATTGTGATTCAAGGGTCAGGACGGTATTGCTGTCTAATTAAGTTTCTATTCTTTCTATTCAAGTGTTGCGCTTTTAGGTCCCACTATTGAAGTCTGACCCCCCTTCAGTAAGAGCATAGCTTCACTACTGTTTGACAATACACACTGGAGAACTCTGTCGACCTTTGTCTACCTGGTTAAGATGTGTTGGAGCTCAAAGAGAATGAATATGAATATGTGTGGGACATTCCTGAAACAATATGCTCATGCACATTAAGGGTAAAGAACATTTTGTTCTGCACTGTTTTGCTGTTTGAAATCCACAGAATTTACAGCGCCCATTATATAACCAGTGACACTGTCCATGTGTCATTTTCCACTTTGCTAGACAATTTTTCTGTACTTCGAATGCTGTTAAAACTTTATTGTCCTTCACACTCCACATGTACATGTGTCTTTGGCTGCACTTACGTGAGCTTGATCCGACAGAGGCCAACGAGAGGGTACACGCCCATGTCGAAGATAGGGATGAACACCAGGATCAGCAAAGCGTTCAGCATCTTAACAACAGGACAGAAAAATTAGGACACACACACACAAGCTCAATAATCAGCATGATCTGAAAATCATAAAAATATATTGCTTATAAAACAGATTACAGTAAATTTTGTTGCTCAAGTTTCTGATAATTTCTTAGGATCATCTATCATAAACAGATATCAGGAGATATCACTAAGCTACAATTGTGCAATAATACAGGGGAAGATTTTTGCACATGTAAGCAAGTGAAGATCATACCTGCATTTGATCAGGCTTTATTACAAATGCTCCACCCTGCAAAACACAGAATGGATTATTTACCTGACTGATTGTGAACTTGTATACAGAATGCCCAGCGGTCCAGAATGATGGACTGGTGAATAACCTCACCATATACTTTAACAAGAAGGAACCAATGTCTATAACTGGTCTCAAATGCTTGAACACATTCTTCAATTCATGAAATTCTTTGTTATCATTTTATACAGTCATTAGATTTCAGATTCATTTTACACTGCAACAAACGCAATGTGAATTGGATGTGTTTGGTTGAGGCAAATAAATGCAAATAAAAGAAGGCAGTAAATGTATTCTTTGAGCCATCATGGGGCTTATGAAGAGAAAAAAAAAGTTCTAATGTAAAAAATATTTATTTTATTTGTTTATTTGTTAACTCTAACATTTTAGCATATATGCTGGCAGAGTGGGTGTTTCATTTTTTTGCTAATATTTTCACTCTTGTGAAGAAAATCTAGCTTTGTCTAACACTGCTCATAATTCTGTGTAACTATAGACATTTGTGTGAGGACTGATTGGACAGTACAACCAGTTTTAGCTACACACATTACATAGCTAACAAATAAGGTGGATAATCAGCCAATTTGACTGCTTGTGTTTTAATAGGTGCAAATTATGAACAAGCAAAAACAATTTAATCGTTAACCGCAATTATTTATGACAATCGTCAGCTACAATTTCATTATCGTGACAGCCTTGTTTAGTGAAGTGTCACAAACCAAAAGATAAATGCTAAATGCTTTTTTTTTTTCGCAAAATGCACAGCCACCCAAAATTTTAGAAACCCATCAACCACTTGATCCACAAATTGGCCTGGCTTTTCAAGATCCCCCTCATTTTTTTGTCAAAAAAGGCCCTACATTGAAGGACCACCTAGTTTCAGCTCATTTGAACATTTTTGTCGATTAAGACTTTAAATGTAACAGCTGTGTTTTATGTCATTGCCTGATGCCGCAGAACAATTACACATGTTCTCAAACCAATAAGATGTTCGGGGCAGGATCACGTTGGTTGATCTATAAGGTTTATTTTTTTTGTTTGCCAATGCAGCTTTAGCTATGTGGGAAAAACAAACAATTAAAAACGAGAATTTCTGAACAGAAATGTGCAATCAGAAATGAGACATCTCCAGTAGCGAGACACTTTGATAAGGTAGGCCATGATGCCGTTACGTTTTATGGGCTTTAAAATGGGCTTAAAAATGGTGAATCACTTGCCGGGAGGTGAAGATCATAAGATGCGCCTCTTGCAGAGAGCGCCTTGGTACATTTTCGCTTTGAATACATTTGCATTATATGGTGTGAATGAAGACTTCTTTGTGACTTGACTAATGTGTATGCCATTTTTTGAGTGAAATGCCAAAAAGATACCTTGGCTAGTGAAATGTTCTTAAATCTAGTTAATATATCTAATATTTCTCATGCTGACACTTTAACATGTTTTAAGTGATTTTATCAAGAAGAAAGCTCACCATACTGGCAAATGATTTTGCTTGTTTTATGAAACATGCTTGAAACAAGCAAAATTATCTGCCAATATAGTGAGATAATTTTACTTGATAAAAATGTCTAGAAATAAGTTAAATAATCTTATAATGTCCCAACAACTGTAAAAAATGTGAAATATTAGTATATCAACTAGATTTAAGATCATTTTACTTGAGAAGACACCAGCTTTTGCAGTGAATCTTGGTTATTTTAATTACCTTGTTTTTTTGGGTTTTTTTTGGCTTTTTGGTTTGCTTTGATTTATATTGGTTGATGCTGGGTCTTCTTGGTTGCTGTGACTCGCCCTTATCATATGTGGGTGGTTCGTGTAATTGGTAGCTCTATTTAGTTGGTTGGTGGCTAGAATGTTATGAACATGCTCACGAAGGATGTGTGCTCCAAAGCATCTGTGCTTAACTTGTGAGCTTGATATATACAAATGTTGTCTGACCTTTTTCTGCTTGCCAATATTCCCTGTCAAAACTTCCAGTCATGACCACCTAACAGTGCCCTGTTTTCAAGCCTGCTTGTAAACCTAACCCTAATGGGATAATGACTCAGGATCATCTATGTCATTACAGTATTCAGATGGTGCCACACTTCTGTGGTAGTCAAGATGATTTCATTTCATGTTTTTGCACCGCAGAAAAGACGTGGGTGTGTACTACAAATACAATGATTCTGTCATTCATTTCTGGGTGTTGGTCTAAATGACAGTAGCTTCACTGTAAAATGGTCACTGTACAATGAAGTTATTTAGGACCATTTCTTACTACCATCATGTTATTCATTAAACAAGGCGCAAAAAAGTCAGGGAGTGACAGTTTTTCTCATTGTCTTCTTAGGCCACGTAAATGCTCATGTTAATGCCACAACTGAAATGAATGTCCAACTTCCAGGCAAAGAATATCAAATTACTATTCGTATGATGTAATAAGCTTTTCCCAAAGGAAGGACAAAAGACTTACAAAATCCATGTTCATCCTGGTGGCCTGGAGAGTCCAGCGAGACCCCTGGCACCAAACAAAGGGAAAATTGATCATTATCAGGAAATGAATGGAATATCTGTGTGTTGCTGATATCTATGTTAATAGTTGATCTCCTGTCTTACAGTTTAACTGCATATTGCTCAGCTTTAGAGACAATAAAGATTGTATCTCTTGTGTTAAGCTTGCAGCCACAGTAAACACTGCCCAGTAAAAAATTATTCAATGTTTTAACTTGAAAAAGTAAGTAACCTGTTACATGCATGTAACCTTGTACATTCAATGACTCAAAATTTTAAGGCAACCAGGTTACTTACTTTTTCAAGTTAAAACGCAATCATTTTTACAGTGTGTAACTACTAGAATGGTAGTTTGTACGACAGCATTTAAACTTGTACCTGCTGATCAAAGAGAGCCCAAAACATGGGTAATGGAATGTAGAGGACCAGCACCCTCAGCACCATTTTGATCTCTTGAATAAGACGTTTCTGGAAGGAAGTACCGCAACACTGTATTTAGGACACATTGTTTATCTCACGTGCATGTTGTAATTACTGAGAAGTTTCTGTATTCATACCGAATACTTCTCCTCTGCCCAATCCAGCCAGTGATCCCGTTTTGGGCTGTTCTTGGGCCTCCTCCACCGATTGCTTATGGCACACTGATCAATTCAAAGGAAAAGAATAATGATTAACTACACTTGTGTGTCATTTTCAATGTTCTGTTGTTCATTGTTCATCGTTTCATTTGCCAGTCCTTGGTGTAAAAGAGGTTTCTTACCCCAATGCACTTGCACACATTCAGCAGGACATTTCCCTCAGGTGGAGCCTTGTTATATAGCCCGCTGCCAGCAATGAAAACCACTAGACAAAGAAGAACAATGTTGTGAATGAATACTAATAGTATCTCATACAAGTGTTAGTCAGCAACCTTTAAAGAGACACTCTGGTGAAAATGAAAAATGTCCATTTGTTGTGAGCAAGCTTACTTGCATTACATAGTGGTGCCCAATAGTCTCTGGAGAGAGATTTCCTGGTTTAAAAACTAGGAAAATCCTTTTCTGCTGACATATCTTTAAGGTGAAAGGAACTTTTGAAAACCTACAACAATTTTTAGTGCAGGCTGTATCTTTAGCTGGTGAATGCAGAGGGAAGCCAGACAGCTAAGCCTATCAGTGGCTAGGCTAGCCGTCAGGATTTGTTGTCACCACAGGGATCCCCAGTGTTTGTATGATGTGTTAGCGTAATGCGTGCTGGGAACTACCGTGAAAGCACATTGATAAACAAAAACATGAAAATAATTTAAAATTCTCTCAAACTGCTGTGGGATTCTGCATAAAACAACCAACTCTAGCTTTAGGCTGGGCACTTATTTACACCTACTTTATAGAAATACCTTATAGGCTGCACTAGCTTTTACCATCAATGGTAAGCAGTAATTCACACGTTTTATACCACTGCTGTACTTAGGAGTTCATTTAAAGCTAGCAATTGCCCTTATGGTCAAAATGAGGTCACTCATGAGTGAGGCCCACAAATGCAGACAAGCGTGCACAGGCACACTATAATCAAACAAATGGCTTCCGAATACAACAGTGGTGGCCAAAATATGTTAAATGCAACTTATCTACAGTATATGTCTATATAATCTATTTTCACTGAGAAAGTTACTGTAATTTATTAAAATACAAGCATTTGATCATTGGTTCTGAATATTCCTAAAGCAATTTGCAATACTGGCAAACTTCCAAACCTGTATATCCTGGAGTACCTCTGAATTGCTCTCTATGTTCATACCCAGACTGCCTTTGCTTTATGAGCTTAATGTTTTTCCAAAGTTGTTTACACGGACTGTAGGGACGGTGTCCTTACAATCCATCCAGATTGCTGACTGAGGCTAAATCTCACTTTCCCTGATCTGAATGGGTTTTACGGTTCACAGACTGTCCAAACATCTCTTTTTTCCAACTCAGGGGCTGTGAACTGACTATAAAGGCAGCTAAGCACAATGTGACACTTGTGTTAAACTGTTTATTCATCAGAGGCACGGCTCTCAGAAACCATATGACATAAACTGTAGACTTTGATATCAACCAGGTGCGACACTCACCCGTAGCTATGACCATTAAAGCAGCAGGGACCCCAAACGCCAGAGCGTAGCAGTCACCCCCAAAACATTGAACATCACCTGTGTAGAAAGCCTTGTATTCAGTCTAGGCACTTATGATAATTGCAAGTAATTTAGACCGTAACTACACATTTGCAAGATGAACTTTATCACAGTTTTAAAGTTTTGCTTAAGATTTAACAGAGCAGAAGTGTGTATGTTTATGGGATTCACCTCTGAGAATGGGTGTGATGATAGTAGACAGCACACTCCCAGCATTGATTGACATGTAGAAGATAGAGAAGAACTTTCTCCTCTCCTCTGTCTGAAAACAAAAAATTGGACTGATTACAAACACATGATTTAGGAAGAAAGCTTGTTTTTGACATTGACATTTCAGGTGTTTTTCAGACAATCTTATCCAGAGTGACTTACTTGGTTGTCTACTTGGAAAATGTATCCTTAATCTAGATCAAAACCTCACTGTCAGATCAAAACCAAGTATCTTACAGTTTTTCATTATTTTAAAATGCCATTTTACATTGTATGGACATTTCATGATGAATGGACCAATAAAATGGTCCAAATTTACTTGCCGAATACATTTGTTACATTAACTTGCATTAAACATTAAGAATGTTTTTCCTGAAAAGTTGTAAATAGTAAAAGATGTAAATAGTCTACACACGTTGCTGCCATTCACAGCACTCAACTTATTCAACTAAATATCTATGAAATTCACCTGAAATTTCACTAATCCTAAACATGGCCCTAATCCTAACCCTAAACTAATGCTGCTGACAATCTACTTAGTTAGACAGTTTGTTAACAATGTGAACATCTACAGATAATCTATTATTAGCTCAGCATCAATGCAGATGACTAGTTGTACTGACTGCTGTGTTAACACATTATGATTTGCTCACATGCTCCTCCTCAAACTGGTCTCCACCAAAGGCTGCAACACATGGCTTGATTCCTCCAGTCCCAAATGCGATCAATATCAGGCCAAGCATGGACAGAGCTCTACAACAAAGCAAAATGCATTATGAGCTGCTGAGACTTGCACTGATGTATGCATTAATATAGAATTAGACACATCATCAATGTTATACAAAACCTACATGTGTACAGTGCTATCTCCCACATCTGGAATGGCCCCAACAGACTTTATCACATGACCAATAACATACACGATGGACAGATAGATGATGGTTCTGTGAATTAAACACAAAGACAAATTTTGACATCAGTTCCAATTCAGTTTCCCTGTAGGTTAGCTGACGTACGACTGAGGACTGGTATTCCATTATATCTTACTTGAACTTCCCCAGCCAAGAGTCTGCTATGATGGCTCCTATTATGGGAGTAAAGTAGCACAGGCCAGAGAATGCATGGTACACGGCTGTGGAGAGGTTTTTGTTCCAGTGCAGGTAGTGGATGAAGTAAAGTGTGAGCACCGCTTTAAAAAGAAGAAAAAAATAACGAAACTTTATTTTGCAGGTAAACATGTGCCTGAAAAATGTAATGATGTGGTTTGTTGTTCATCAGGTAATTCACTGTTGTTGAATCCTCTCTATTTGAATGACCAGTAGCCACAGTCACAGTGACAATTAGCGACTATTAGCTTTACTGAAATTCAGTAGACATTTGCAAGATGTTCCTTCATTACCTTTCATTCCATAGTAGGAGAATCTCTCGCAGAACTCATTGACTACGATGAAGGCAATGCTAAGTGGGTAGTTGGTCCCACATATTTTCTGAAATCACACAAAAAAGTTCTCTTTAGTCAAATAATAAACTGTGCAAAGTCAACATCTCATGAAGATTTACACATTTTTTTTCAGCTGAATGCCTTATAATTCTACTTTATCGTCAGATGTCACACTGAAACATGTGGACATCCAACCCCATGATTTCATTACTGCGTCACGTGGTTAATTTAGTCATTTAGCTGTTGAATCAGCCTGTTTCGTGGAGTCAGGAAACTGGTCATTACTCATCAGATGTCCTTTAGTGCAATTGCTGGGAACCCTATTAAAATTATCTTCTGTTAAAAAAACGCTGTGCATGCATAGTGAGATAATTGTATCATCTTACTGGTGAGCGTGTTTTTTTATCAGATTGGTACTTCTCCATGTTATCATCTAAAACATAAAAAAGAGAACATCACATTAGGCAAGTCATCTAACCATGGACTTCACAGAAATGAACAAATAAGTGGTTAGACATAAAAGAGTTGGTTAGCATAGCCTAAACCCATACTCAAGAAAAGTAACATTACTTCTGTGAAATAATAACTCAAGTAGAAGTAAAAAACTTTTCCAAAAACAGCTTAAGAAGAAGTATGAAAGTAGCAGGTGAGAAAAACTATTCAATTACTGAGCATCTTACAGCTCTGCATCTATCAGCATAAAAAAGTTTGTTGGTTGGGAGTTATTCTTCTTTTCCTTGCATCCTTTTGGACTAAAGTAAAGCACTAAAGCTCAAAACTGAGGGGACCAATTCTAAAGCGTTCAAAGTGCAACTAGTCACACCACTGACTTTAGGCACCAAAAAAGAAATTTAATATTAATGACTGAAATGTAACTGAGTAACACGTACATTCCTTTCCTCACAAGGATTCTTGAGTAGAAGTAAAAGTATTGGCACTTATAATATGCAGGAAAACACAAATCTGTCATGTTACTAAATAAATCTAACTGAATAAAATAATTTAACTGAATAAACCAGTACTACCCAAGTCTTCTTGGACATTTCATGACGTGGCTATAAATGGTGGTTATTTTGGTCAATATAGGGGTCACGATTATTTAACACAATTATTTGAGAAACAGCATGCATTTATTGAACTAAAAACAAAAAACTTTTTAACACTTTATTTCTTTAAACTTTAAACAGAATTCAACTGAAAAACAACTTAAAAAATAAATGTAGACATATATATATATATATATATATATATATATATATGTGTGTGTGTGTGTGTGTGTGTCTATATATACATATATAAACAGATAGATAGATAGATACACACATATATCATAGAAAAATAATGAATAAAAAATAAGATCAACTACATAGTAGTGTAATTCCACAACTCACTGAAAACTACTAAACATATATTAAAATAATGAATAAAAATAAATTAGACTAAAATAACTTAGATAAGCTGTAAAGGAAAGGGGTGCACTGGATTTATAACACAATACAAAATAAGAGCATCATTGGAATGGAAGCACAATAATCGTTTAATCTCGATTATCTTGCTTTCATAAAGCAAGTAAAAATCGTATGTGGAAAAAATCGATTAATCGAAGCCCTAATACAGAGAAAAACATCTGGGATTATCATTACACACATGCAGGGATTTATTTTAACATAGTCTCATGCAATGGAGTGAAAATGCTCTTCCACTGCATTTTTAGTGCGACGACACATTCCACACTCCCCCCAGGGTTAAAGGCATGGATGATGTGACCCATATGCGCTGCTACGTTACAGGACACAGCGCTTTGTGCACTTTTTGTCCTCTTTCACACTCCGACTGAACTCAGGCTGCCACAGAATGAACTGGGTTTAAAATGGGAAAAAAAGTTTTTTTTTCCCCCCAGAGCTCTTCAAACAAACTCAAACGGTCTTCTTTAAGTCGAATCACTGCTGTATCTTATGGAAAACACAGAAAGGTGTTGGCTGTAGAACTTAAAAATTCTAGACAACACAAGTCACCTTTCCAACATGCACGACGGCGCAACGGCGTTTTGATTAAAAGCGTTAGCATCATCTGCTCAGCACTGAAAGGTCCTCTTTACTCGCTGAAAAGAAGCTACGTTACCCTTGGCTTTGCCCATGTCTTCTGCTGGAGTCTGACAGTTAGCCGCGTAGCACTGGACTTCTTGAACCGTGTCCAAGTCCTTCCCTCTCCCTCTCTGTCTCTCTCTCCTCCTCTGCTCGTCTTCTCCTCTCCAGCGTCCACAGACGCTCCTCTTATAGGAGATTTAACTTCCTTCTGTTAATGTTCTACTCCTTGAACGCGACTCGGTCCCTCCAACCCCTCAGTCCTCAGCAGAGCCGGTTAGCCTAGTAATAGGAAACGCACTCCAGTTCACACTCAGCACTGCTCACATACAGTGTGTGATGCACAGCTGAACCGAGACAGCGATTTACCAGGTTTACTCAAACGGTTTACGGCCTGTTTTTGTCTAAAAATGCAATACACCCACCTAAAATGGCCAATAACCAAAAATAGTTATTGCACTTGATCAGTATTTTTCAGTATTTTGAAAGATCTGTGCTTTACTCGACTGTTATTGAAATTGAATATTTTTACTTTTACTCAGTTACATTTCCAAGAAAAAAACATCATACCTTTTACTCCTTTAGACCTTCAAAATACTTATCATTTTCAAAAAGATTTTTGAATCTTTTTAAGAGTTTTAAGAGTTTTGCTCAGGTATATTTTTGACTTCTTCCACTTTTGATTGAATAAGATTTTGAACTCATACTTTCACTAATTTAATTATTTAATAAAAAACAGTTAAGTTCTTCAGACCTTCACAATACTCATTTTCAAAAAGATTTTTTCTTCCTCTTGCCAGTCAGGAGCCTTTTTTTATTAAAAGATTGAACAAAATGTATATAATTGTAACATTAACTGCTGACAACTACACTGCAGCCACTACGCCACACCCTGCTACCGTGCATTTAACTTGTATTGTAAACTAAATATCTTTTTTCAAATCACCCTAACAATAATCCTAACCCTGACCCTGGCCGTAATCCTAGCCCTAACCTTAATCTCAACTCAAAGCCTAAACCTAATGCTGGTCCTAAACCTTGTACCTCCGTATCCTGACCCTAACCCTGACACTGCTGAGAATCTACTGAGCTTCACCTGGTAGTTCCTTAATAACTTGACCCTCATTAGATACCCTACTGGGGGCTATTCAAGTAAAATCCAGTTAAAGTGGAACCTGCATTTTACATACATTACTTTTCAGGGTGGGTTTAAATGTAGATGCTTTCAAGTTTTGCTCAGGTATATTTTTGACTTCTTCCACTTTTAGTTGAATAAGATATTAATATAGAACCCACACTTTCACTTATTTAATTATTTCTCTACTTTTTACACCCCTGACCATAACCATGTAAAAAACTCTTTAAATGGGTTTACAGTAGAGATTGACAATACTACTTTGACCTGATACAAGATACTAAAGCTAATACAATGATATAGACATAGATACATATTTTTTAAAATGTCTTCTTGTGCATAAAAAGAGTATTTTTACAGTGAAAAATAGTAAATTTGCACGTTAAAGTACATATGATTAAAATTCTAAACTGATAAACTGCCAAATAAAGTGACTGTATAGTGGAGCGAAATCACTGCAAATGATCTGCCACTATTCATTTCGTAAACTATTCATTATTCGTAAAATGTCTGCCCATTCTGCAGGTCCTTTATTTGAACTAAGCATTTTTTTTCTTCAGTATAATATTTTTCAACATTTCAACGGAAATGTATCTGATTCACAAAATCAGAAGTAGATTTTTGTCTTTGTAGGTGAGCAGCCAAGTTAACATTTATAGAAGTGTCTTCAGTGTTCAAATGCTATTTTAATTGTGGACATTACATGCAATTTTTGAACATGAAGAAAGCCTCAGTTTTGCTGTCTATTTTAACTCGACAATAGTTTTCGCTCCTCATTGCTCCCGAGCAGCTGAACACAGTCACAGCATTTCACACACAGAGAGTCAAGCTAATTAATGTGATCACAGAGTTTCAGGGAAAATGATATCTCTCTGAATAGCAGGGTAGCTCTGCCTGGACCACTGTGACTTTGCAAGTCTGCAGTTACCATATAGGCAGCCTTCTAGGAAATGAAGAACTGTTTGTCTACACTAAGTGGACATTAAGTGAAAATTCAGAAACAAAGCTGCTAACATACAGTAAGTGAAGTAAGGATACACATAATTCATCTTTTTTTCTACCCCCGTTTAATCATAGGCTGGGATTCTGATTTGTGTTTTGCCTCAGTAGCCTAACAGGGTGTTTATATGACTGCAAAGTCTGAATGAATTTACACAGCTGTCATCATAATAATTGATTGAGCCTAAAATGTAGGATTGTGCTGTGATGAAAGGTCTTGAAAGGTAGTAAATGATACATCATTTACTGAATTGGTGGCAGTAAAGCAATACTATGTTAATCCTGCCTCAATATACAGGACCTTTGTAACTTTGTGCAGAGTGGAAATTAAAATAAATTATATTGACATTAAAGTGTGAGGGAGTGGTGCCCAAACTTAACGTCTTTCACAGAACACTGATCATGTATGGTTTACAAAGTCTGCAAGGAGGCATTTATACATGTGGAATTTATTTTTATTTGACATTGGCTGCCCTTGTGAACATTGTAGACCCTCCTCTAAGTGCTAATTTCTTTAAAAAATGATGGTTTAATTTCTTTTTTACTACACTGAGTATAAAACATCTAGATGTCTGACTTGTGCTGTACAAGCAAAGTTGTACTGATTTATATCTCTGCATGTTCAGCAAATTCTTTATATAACAGTGCTTTTACTTTTATAGGAATTTTGTGGGCTTGTTAGATTTTGACCTGCAGATAAAAGAAGGAGGTTTTTGATTACAGTGCAACTGACAGCAGAACAAAAGCAGCACCTGGTGAACTGAAAGAAAAAAATAAACCGATTTTTTGTAATATGACATCCAGTCAAGCAAAATTTTAACCCATGTGGCAGATTTACTATAAAAGAAACAAATCCAAAAAAAAAAAAAAAATTCCTTGTTCCTTCAGAATCTGGCTTTATTGACCAAGTGTGTTTGCACATACAAGGAATTTGCCACGATTTCACATTTATCTCTCACACACACACATTTTCTAAACTGCATATCCCTCTGGGTTGTGGGGGGAGCTGGAGCCTATCCCAGCAGTCATTGGGCAGAGGGCAGGATACACCCAGGACAGGTTGCCAGTCCATCACAGGGCACATTTCTCATAGAAGAACAAAATTTGTTGCAAATTCATTTAAATGTGCTAATGTACAAATATCAAAAGTGGGCCTCTGAGGAAGAAATAAAATACTAGAATATATAAAATAGAATATGGGCTCTTTAATTCAATTCACATTAAAAATGAAAAAATAAAAACTCTCAAAATAGTGTTTGGAGTTAGAAATGTGATTTATGCATCATAACTGCATTGATTTAGATGATCCGTAATCTAGATTTATTATAGATTTAACCATTTTTACCCCAGTCTCAAGCTGATAATATCACTGCATGTGAAGGTGAGTTCTAAAGTTCACACTCAGCACAGACCAGTAGTAGAGTTTATCTAGAAATCTGCATGCACTGGAATGTAGTCAACAGCTGTATGGCTATGATGATGACATCCTTCTAGTCTCTACATTGGCCATCCAATGCTTCTTCTGAAATCAAGGGTATTGCTAAGGAGTTTGTCCCCTATTTGCTGCAGTAATATTCTCTACTCTTAGGGGATGGCTTAGATGTTAGAACATGCTGTGAAGATTTGATTGCATTCAACCACAAAAGCATTAATGAAGCCAGGTACTAATAGAGAATTAGTTCTGGATCACAAATGCCACTCCAGCTCATCCCAAAAGTATCTGATCACCCCAGAGGATGCAGTTTTATTGCTCCACAGCCCAATGCTGGGAGGCTTGATACCCCCTGACCAATGCATTAAGCAGGGTGTCATTAGGCCTGGACTGCTTGATGTGGGGCCTGCAGACCAACCTTGCCCTGTGAGGAGGTTTATTTTGGCCTACCAAGAAATTTTCCTCACCCCACCCCCCTCCTCCAGTGAGAGAACAAACATACAGTTCTATGTATTGTTTTGGGCACCCCTGATAAAATGACGTGTTTTGACAGCTTTCCAAGAGAAAATGATTAACACATCTTCTATAGAGAACACACTACTGCACATTTTAATGCACAACAACTGTTTATTTGCTGAATTTAACAAATTAGGTGGGAAAAAAACATGTGACCTGGGCACATTTTATATTTTGTGTTTTCCCAATTTGTAAAGCTCAGCAAATAAATGTAAATTCTACAATATAATTTGCAGTAAATGCCAGATTTAAGTTTGTAGCTTGTAGAGAATTTGTTAACTCATTTTCACTTTTCACTCCTGTAGGAGATTGTTGCAAGGATTTGATTGCACCACATAAAATATGTAATTTGACCAGGAGTGTTCAAACTTTTGCATGCAACTTTTTTTTTGTACTACAAATAACTTACTAGATTCTTATTTTTCTTTTGAATTGTATTTCTGAAGTATCTCATTAAAAAATTGGAAGTGTAAGATCATAAAATGCCTCTACAAAAGCCTTTTTATAAGTAGATAGGAGCCTATCTACCACTTTATTTATAAACTGTTTTGTGTTTTTGGTCCAAAAAAAAAAAAGTTTGGGCACCTCTGTCTTAGGTTCATGTGTGGCTGCTACACAGTGTATCCCAATCCATTGTCTGTGCTCTTCCATGGAGCTGTGTGTTTGCATTTGAACGCCAGGGTCAGCAACGGGTGCACCTTAAAGTAGCTGAATTCACTATTAAGAGGGGGTGTCTGGATACTTTTGGACATATGCTGTATGTTGTTGGTAGGAAAGCATTCCATTGAGAGAGACAATACTACTACCATAAAACAGTGTAAACATATGTACTAATAACACGGTCAGTGTGCCTTCTGTTTATTTGATTTTCATTTCAAAATCCAGTATTGATAAACGAAAAATGGGTCAATTCTCGTTTTTGGTTGTGTTATTGTCAGCAGAAGAATCAAGGAAGCTTCATTTTACAGTTTCACAAACTAATCATAAAATCAAACAACAAATAACAGCAATGGAATAAGGGGTCATATTTTACTGGTCCAAATTATCCGGAAATAAATGTGAAGAGAG